GTCCTCTCCTCCACCTCCCAGCCCCAGGAGGCCCCAGGCATGGTCTGACTTGGAATGTACCCACATCCATTTCACATCTGTTTCTCTTATCCCTCTGGGTGGCAGCAGCAAGCCTGTTAAGGATGAAAAAAACATCTTGTGAAGGCTCAGGGTGACATCAGAGCCGGAGCCTCAGAGGCCAGGCCCGCTGCCTGTGAGGCTTCTCAGAATGGCCTGCGAGTGCCTCGCCCAGGCAAGCAGCAGGGCATTTCAACCAGACCTGGATTTGGAAGCAGCCCTTTTCCTCTCTGGTTCAGTTTCTTTCTCCGCGGAGTGACGTGCATACCACCTCACAGGCTGCGGTGAGGAGCACATAAGAAAACATACGTGGAAGCACTTCATGAAGTGTCAGAAAAACTGCAAGTGGCAGTTTGTGATTTCCAATGATAATGATACCTGGCTGATTGACCAGCTGGACGTGGGACCAGATTAAGGTCAGACAGTGGTTGTGGTGGAAGTTGCAGGAGACGCAGGCGTCACTCATTTGATTGCTGAGCCTCGCACACATGGCCAGGGTTTGGAGGCAGGGTCTTTATTTACAATGACTGCTGGCTTAAGTGAACTCTGCTCAAGATGCATAACAATTAGCTTGGATAACACCTAATCACTGATGGCCTGTTGGTTTGTCGAGAAAGTAGGGACGCTGTGTGGTCTGACTGCAGCAGCATTGGAGTGCTCATTGGGCAGCACAGCCAGCGGCAGAGAAATGCCTCACCTCGGGCTTCCCCTCAGCCCTCTATGGAGAAGAGAAATGCTGAGTCATTGCAGCCAGAAATGCCAGAGAAGCTTGTTTTGTGGATGTCAGTTATTTAGTGCATGTTGTTTTAGGAATATTTACCCGTCTTTTGTAAACAAAGGGTAGCAAAGGACATTTCAAAAAAGTGCTTCTCATCAGCTCTGTCAGGTAACTGGGTGAGCAAAACGGACTGTAGTGTATGTTGACCCTAGCTTTGAATTGATTTTAATTCAGATAGTGTGGGGATAAATCAAAGCAAGAAGGTGCATGACTGACCACACCTGGGAGACATGCCTGTTGGGTTGTACGTTTCCTGGGCTGCGTCACTAGTGCTGCGTGGGAACCCCGACTCAGGGAAAGTAGGAAGCCAGGCAGGGATGGTTCAGACCTCAGACTCCCCGGAGGTACTAGCAACCAAGCCAGGGAATAAAGTGGCATGGAAGGGCTTTGGAGTTCTGTTTTTATAATCAGATAGACCACTAAGCACCACTGTTCGTTGACTTTAAAAGTTTTTAATCTTCCGGGCCGGCCTGGCTCCTGCC